ATCTTGTCCATTCAATTTCCAGCGAAACATAAATTCCCACCCGATAGCCGAGGACCTCTCGCCTTAATTACAATTCTGCGTACAGAAAAGGCGAATAAACGAGAGGTTCTTTTTATTGAATATATAACACGCGTTTATTCAACGCGTGAAAAATAGCTCGGTGTTCTTTTCATTCGGTTGAATTAATCGAAATCGCTCGACTACGTTTTTAAGCGTCGTCCGATTACCTCTCGATCGGACCTGGTGAAAAGAGGCAACGTTACGAAACATTATTATCGTCCGAGGTAATTAGACGTGACTAATTAATTATTGTAATTAATGACGCCGAGAGATTGCCATTTGGCTAATTGATTCGTTTCCAATACTCGACCCTTTAATGCTCGGTGATTAAAGACGCGGCAGATATGAATTTGCGGCTCCTTAAATTCACGCATCCTCTGCTAAATAGCTAGTTTTAAACACCTTCTGCGCTTCGTTGTTCAATTTTTTAGAAATATCTCGAGGCAATTTGAAATTGCAGAAAATTCTAAAGCGTTAATTATTCAAAATTGCCTTAAATTCGAAATAGTTCTTCAATTTTCTATCGTTTAATGACAAAGAAAATTCGAAAGCATTTGCAATAATTGACAAATAAGTGTGCAGAAAATTTATATGAAAAAGTATGCGAGAATATACATGGAGAACCACTTTGAGAACCAAAGTCAGAGTTTCCACTAGTGAAACGACGAAATGCGCCGAGATTAAAGAGGTCTGACCACCGAATTACCGAAACTACTTGCTCCCTGATCGGACGTCGCGTCGAACAAAGAGTATTTCCCATATGATGCTAGCTTTATACTCGTTACCTGGTAGATAAATATTCTGCTAACTAGATAAGTGATAGATTTAAGTAACTCGCTGAACCTTGAATCGATCTCGACGAAACCACAATCCTGTTTTCTGCGTCAATTTCGATCTTGTGAGCAAACCTCGTCTCAAGGAAATTTGCGTAAACCGCGTGCAATATCAATTAGGTTGAACGAGGATCTGTTGCGTCCAAGTATAAAGCGGCCTGTATGCGATCGATAATGCTGTAGAAACAGAGGAATATTGGCAAAATTATCGATCAGGTGCGGTCGACGTTAAGATCGAAGAATTTCCAGATACGAACCAAAATGATTAACTCATTTTCATATTCTTTCAAATTTATTATCAAAGCATACATTTACTGCTTAATTTTTCTAAAATTAAATAAACTTGATGAATCTTATTTTACGCAGTCTTCCGATTGGCTCACTCCGAAATCCGAGCCTTAATATTATTATCAAACCGGACTGATCAATATTACTCCGAGATCGTGTGCAGACTGATTAACAGAGACGATGCGTTAGCCGGAATGAATTTGCAATTGGCGATGAACGACACCCGATAATCAGCCATAGTTCCCGTTCGAAACGCAGAAACGGTTGAAGTGGCGAGCCGGGGGATGGCTCCGGTTAAAGGGCGGGCCCCGGAAGCATCGCAAACATTAGCACTGCTCTTGACATCGAGTGTCTAATAATATATATAGTATGAAATTCCAGGGCTCCGATGGCCCTAATTGCTGAAAGCGTTTGCCCATCCACTTCAAAGAGGCGCATTTAGGCTGGTGCGCCGCTAACGAGACCCACCGTTGCTTGCCCTCTCTCATGTTTCAGGCATTCACTCCTTCGCCAACTCTGTGTTTCCCTTCTCTACTCGTGTAATGTGTCTGGCTTGTCGAAATCAGACGCTATTCTTTGTTTGCCCGACTAGCCGCGAGATCGGCTTCATTAGCCTACTTAATCACTCTTCGTTTCCACGATTAACTGGTTTCTCTTGATTGTTTTGCAGTATGGTAGGATCTGTGTTGAGAATGATTTTCGTTGATTCGATTGGTTCTGTTGTGCAGAGCGAATGGAAGAGTATATTCTTCGATTTTTTGTTTAAACGAGGATTGGGAAGTAAGTTGAACTTGTGATTCGTTATTTAGAAATTTTTGGGAGGAAATGGGTTAATGAGTGAGCAATTGTATGAATGAACTGTAGAAGTATGATTTTAGGAAGAAATTGTAGGAACCGACGACGGAAAAATATTGAGGGACCCAACCGGGAATCGAACCCGGGACCTCCGGCTTAGCAAGCCGAGGCTTTGCGCGCTACGCCAACCACTCCCTCTCTATTCTCCCGTGCCGGTTTCCTATTTATCGGCTATGGAGGCCCCGATACTACAAAACTGATTTCTCAAAGTGTAATTGTCTAGAATACGTAAGAACATAAATACTTGTGAACAGTATTGCATACTGAATTAGATCATTCTAATTAAAACTAACACAAACTTCATGTATTTTTTAACATTTTTATTAATAATCGTTTATTAAAAACCGTTACATTATCCAGCTAAAAATTGACAAACTATTTCTCTAAATTAACCCTTTGAACTCCAAATTTTAAAAAATTTCCTTTTCAATAACTCCCTATTATTTTAAGAGTTTCATTTGAAATGCACTTCAAAAGACATCTGTTCGATAGGAACCAATTTACGCAATGTTTTTTCCTAATTACATTGAAAATAGCATTAAGGGCAATATACACTATCGGTCAAATGTTTGGAATCACTATGCTTGCAAGTTGCACCAAAATTCTGAAAAAAAAAAGTTAGCATTTATGATAATTTTTTTAAATAAATTGAAATGAGGTAAAGTGCTACTGATCTCCACAACATCAATTTCAAATCAATAAAGAATTAGTAGCGAATTCAATATTGATGTGAATTGACAAGTGATTCCAAATTTTTGGCCGGTAGTGTATGTGTACCTACTGCTGGTAAAAAAAATGTTGCAAAACAAAACACATTTAAAAGTTACTTCGTTCATACCTGTGAATAAAACAGACGTGGAGTCGCATTCGACAAAGGAGTCCAAAGGGTTAAGAATCCACAACAGCTAGACAGTAGCTACATTTCTTCCATTCCCCCAGTTTTTCACTCCAGCCACCAATTTCTCCATAACAGTTTCGCAGACAATCAGAAAGCGGTTCGAACAGTTTTTCCCAGCTCGTAAAAATCGCCGCCACAGCCATCGAGTTTAAGGACACGTTTCCAGTCGGTGTCGAACAAATCGTTAAGGCGCGTCACCGCCATCTTAACGCGTTCGCCACTGTTAACCACCAATTACCCGGCTCTTTTTGTCCCCTTTTGTCCCCCTTCCGGTTTTATTTTCGCGGGCAACGAGACAGGATTCGAGAGACCAACGCGAGAGAATGAGAGAGAGAGGGAGAGACGTGGAATTGCGGCCAGCGAAAAGATTTAATTGCGGGGAAACAGAGTAACTGGAGTGTGCTAAAAGGCTTCCGAAGTGCGCGTAACTACGCTAAACAAACGCTGCCCGAACGCAGACGCTGCGACACTCGTTTTATTTCCTGTCGTAAACCGACACCGGGTATAAAAAGCCACGCGTGGAACAATGGCCGAGGCGAATCTGACCAGGCCCCGTGCGCGATTGTATCGAATCCTTTCAATGCTACGCAGGTTCCGAGAAAAGTAACAATAGATTTGCCATTCTTAATGAAGAAGATATTATTCGAGTACTTGGGTTCTGGGAAATATTCCTCGAGTAACATTCATTAGGTATAGCAAATTATTCAGTTTGTTATCATCTTTTTCTCAAAATATTTCTCTTCTTTTTAAATTTTATTTTCTTTCTCTCTTAATAATGAATATTTTATTTGAATGTCTGGGCTCTGGGAAATTTCGTTTGTAACATTCATTAGGTATAGCAAATTATTATACAGTTTGTTATAATTTCTTTCTGAAAATATTTCTCTTCTTTTTAGTTTATGATTTTTGAATGGATAGATTAGATTACAAAATTTTTAGTATAGGTATTCAATGATTAAATATCGAAGAGTTTTCCTTTTCCCTGTGTTTAAGTGTTTCACAATTAAGGACACTTGTTTCTAACAGTAAACCCTCGATAAAACGAGGAAAAGCACGTTAGGAGGACTCCATTTCCGAGTGAATTAGGGGTTTACATAATTAAAGTGTTTTAGGTGAGGTTTGAACACCTCTAATTCCACGAACTAAATCCCACCGTTAATTATTATACGGCAGCAATGAGGACGCTGTGCACTTGGGAATTTCCAGGAGTATTAATTGCGATATGGCGTCAGCGGAACACGTTCTATTTGATCGTGTCTAAATTTTCATTTATCAATCCTTATACTAAATTCATCCTCTCGAAATCCACCAAAAAAAAAAAAAAAAAAACAATCCTTTCACAAACAAGAAATTCAACTTCGATTCTACTCAAAAATCAACTCGACGATCAATGGTAAAATCGAGTGTCCAGGACGAATTCGAATCTCCAGCAATGTAGAGTACGACACCTTTTTAAGAGATAGTCAAATTTGACGACGAGAAATCTCTCTGCTCCTCCTTCGAACATCTCCATTTGAAATCTAACCTGTAGACGGGATCCACAAAAGCTTCTCTATAAACCATTACCAACCAGAGAATCGCAATAAACGTTCGAGATCTACAAATAAACGCGGCACTTGGTCTGTGCCTCTGCCGGGCCAATTTCAAAACGTAGAACTCATAACACAACCACGCCTCGACGATTTTTCCCAATAAAACCGGCTGGCGTTGGTAGCAGAATCGACGCGGACCCCGGGTTCAACAGAGGCAGTTTGAAGTTCTATCGATCTTCCGTGGAGCCAGCGGCAGAAGATGGTCCTAATTTGGTGCCTCGATGTCGAGGCTCTCGATGATCGTTCAGCCGTCAAAGCAGCGCAGCCGGCTCGAATTAGAGCCGATTCGCGAAACTTTGAAGTCTGACACGCTTTCCACTCGGTCGTTCCTATAACGCAGTTACGCTTTTCAAGGTTTCCCTAACAACAGCTCCGCCTCGATCGCTCCAACTTCGATCGAAGATGTACCGTGCATTTTTTTCTTTGTTCCACGAGATTGCACCGGATTTTAAGCACGCAACGACGATCATCTTTTTACGGATCTGTTAACAGTATATCGTAGCAGATATCTCGGTCGATCTCGGTGAAATTATTACGAAGGAAGTGGAACGATTCGACGGTTCCGCTGTTCAACGCAGGAGGATCGGCGATGCTTATGAAATTGTACGATAAATCTAGATCGTACAATCTGCCTAGCTTGTCGAAGATTCCTTTCGAGATACGCGTCAACTTGTTCCTCTTCAAGTTCAATTTTCTCAGACCGGTTAGATTGTCGAACGATCCAACCTCGATATCGGTGATCTGGTTGAACTGTAGATCGAGTATCTGCAGCGAATTCAAGCCGTCGAAGTCTTCCTTCTTGATCCCTCTTAGCGCGTTGTAATCGAGAAACAGACCTCTGAGCATTTTCAATCCGCGAAACGTGCCGGGCGCTATTCTGTCTAAAAGATTCTGCTCCAAATGAAGATGCGTCATCTCGCGAAGGTTGTCGAAGGATCCAGCGACGATTTCGTCGATCTTGTTGTTGTCCAGTCGAAGAAACTGCAACAGATCGGTCAATCCGACGAACGTCTCCTTCTCGATAGATTTTAAACGATTGTGTCGGAGGAAGAGCCTCTTCAAGTTGAACAGTCCGTCGAATGTATGCTCGGGAAGACGATCGATCCTGTTGAAGCTGAGATACAACGCCTGCAGGTTGTTCAGCTCGGAGAAGAGGTACGGTGCCAAGTTGATTCTGTTGTTGTCGAGGTTCAGCTCGTTCAAATTGGCCAAACCACGAAACGAGCCTCTCGTTAGACGAAATATCCGGTTTCCGTGACCGAAACTCAGGCTACCGGTAGCCGTCAAGTTGACGAAAGCATCCTCGCGGACCTCGATTAGGCTTAGATCGTGGATACTAAGGCTGTTCGTTTCTCCCAGTTGGCTTACGTTCAGGAGAACGTCGCCCTGACGGCAGATCGTGTAGTCGTTAATCTCTCTGCACGTCACCTCCACCTTCTCCTCCTTCTCTTCGGCCTCCTGTACTAGCTGCTGGTGTTCTGACGTCGACAGGAGGGACGTCTGTATGATCAGCGAGAGAACAAGCAGCCACGACATCCCGATGCCAACCTTCTGACCGGATGATGCTGGGCTAAGGGACTGGCTGGCATCGTTTCTCTGCCTGGTTATATGCATTATGCATTGACAGTGCGCGCGCACAGCTAGTAGCCTCTGCATGGTTTAGGGCTATTATTTTGTCGGCTAGGATAAGCAGGAAGTAACGTGGAGAAGTGTGAGTGCCTTCATGGTGAGCTGTGATGGGGAGAATTGCTTACGACTGGTGTATGATCTGTGGATCGCTGCTTGGGTGGATAGGATGAGTTTTTCGGGAGGATAGGTAATGGTTGGAGGTGTTCATGATTTTGAGAAAAAATGAATTTTTGAGAAAAATTCGAGGGAAAATTGATTGTGAACTTGGAAAATTAGAGGAAAAAAATTATTCTGAACTTGGAAAATAGGAGGAAAAGAATGATTCTGAACTTGGAAAATTAGAGGAAATAAATGATTCTGAACTTGGAAAATGAGAGGAAAAGAATGATTCTGAAGTTGGAAAATTAGAGGAAAGGAATGATTCTGAACTTGGAAAATTAGAGGAAATAAATGATTCTGAACTTGGAAAATGAGAGGAAAAGAATGATTCTGAACTTGGAAAATTAGAGAAAAAGAATGACTCCGAACTTGGAAGTGTAATAATAATCTACAGCAGAGGTTCTCAATGTGGAGTACGTGGTTTTACTTTTGGAACGATTTAGAGATAAGCTTAGTAATAAGTAGACAGCGCATTTTTATGCAAATTGATATTTTTGAGAATATAGTAGAGCAAGTAGAACTTCGTCAGGTAATTATTTCACCTATCAGGTATTATAAGAAGCACTATAATTTCGATATTTTGCATATTTTTTCATATTACCTGCATTCTGCACAATTTTGTATCTTCGGATTTCCTATAAGTGCATAAAAATCCACAGTCTAATAATAAGTTAACGGTAATTCATTTCATCAGAATTGGAATCGTTAGGTTTTCTTCGTGAATTTCTGTCTCTTCCCTAGAAAATCATGCATTGTTCTTTAATTCTTAAACAACTAGCAGGAATTACTAAGAATTATCCTAAATACGAAAATACGTTTTATTTTCTCCAGTTTGCAATACAGAAATATCGAAATTCAGTTGCGAAAAGGGGTCACCCCTTGCTTCGTGTCCCAATTATAACTAATTTCATATCTCTGTTCTCGGAAGAAAAAGATGTTCCAAGAGGCTGCTGTTAATTACAGACCATTATTCGTCCGCGCATTATTCCACGAACGTAAACAATAGATAACTCCTTATCTCCGTATTCCACGAATACCGATGAAACGTTTAATGTCACCGTACAAAATGAAAACAATTTGCAACGTCAATTCATTCTTCTCTCCTTGAATTCCAATTACACCTTCTTTCACGGTTCTCGCCGAACAAAAGGGTCGAAAAGTGCTCGACAATCGCTCAACCAACCTACGATTAACGCGTTTGCGTTAAATTAGCTCATTAGTCGCGAGCCTCGTTCCAGCTAATTTTACTAAATACATCACGTGTCAACCATGCGGCGCAAACGCGTGTTTAGGTGTTCAAATTGACGAGGACAGTGGAACGAAGTAACGAGATCAGAGACAGAGGGAGATAGAGACACTCTTTTATCGATGTATCGTTTATAAATTCGAGGCACGCGTTCCGCCGAGCGCGGGCCGGCGAAATTAGAGCGTAATGAAAATCATCGAGAGCGCAATTACGAATCCGGAGATATTTCCCAGCCGGTGAAAAAGAAAAACAGAAAAAAAGGGAAGAAGAAATAAACAAAAATGTAATTTCACCCGGCTGGAAAATTCCTGGTGCCCGATTACGCAAAAATTGCCGAGGAATTAATAAAACATCGTTCCGTCTCGATGGATATTGCGTGCATGACACTCGGGATCGATCTCTCGTTTGCGACAAATGAAGAGTTTGATATCTGATCGTTTCGATGTTTCCAACTCTCTCTCTCTCCTCTCTGTCGAAGTTTTGCCCCAAACGATCCTCAAATCGCACCGACATTTCGCAGTGAACATTTTTCCCCCCACCGTATTTTTTTTGTCCGGAAAAAATACGGTACAATTTGTGTACACTGGGTGGGCCATGTAACACAGACCTTTCGAAGGGTGAAGAACATATTTTTTATAAGTGCCACTTTTTTCTGTTTTTTTCTTTCGAGACCAGGCTCTATGTTTTTCAGGATGAATATGTCATAATAATGAGAATAAGAAGAAAAAAAAATAACATTTATCAAAAAATTTGCTTTTTCAATTTAATTTTGTTTAAATTTAAAATATACGTATATTCTCTACTGTGTGTTACAGCAGACATTGGTGTATATTTAAACATACAAAATAACGTGATCTTAAAATGATCTTGGACTCCAAAATTAGAAATCAAACGTGAAACCTCCTTCCATTTCCTCCATGAAAAGTAATTTTCTGTAGACATCAATGTGCATTTAAATATGCACAGTATATTGACTTTGAAATGACTATGGACTCCAAAATTTTGAATCAAACGTGAAACTTCCATTCATTTCTTCCCATTTTTTCCATGAAAAGTAATTTTCTGTAGACATCAATGTGCATTTAAATATGCACAACGTTGTAACCTTAAAATGACTATGGACACCAAAATTTTAAATCAAACCTGAACCTTCCTTCCATTTTTTGCCATTTCTTCCATTATTCCATCAAGAAAAAAAATTTGTATTCCATCCTATTCGTCCCAAACAACTTGTCCTAACATCACACCCAGAGAAAACAGTAATTAGCTACTCCGTTTAACACGTCTCACCCTGTATACAACAACGACAGAACTACCCTGTCGGTAAATGGGAAACTTCATTATCCGTAAGTCGAGTCGATCTTTCGACAACTGTTTATCGAAGCTCCTACGAAATTAATCGCTGTGCATCGAACAGGGGGTGGCTACCACCGTGTAATGTTTGCATTCATATTTACCTCCATGCAGCTTTCGTTCCATCCTCTTCTATTTACTCTCGAGGATTCACCGAACACATCGTTCGTTCACCAATTTCTGGAACTATATACATAGTTCCCGATCTACCCAACGATTCTTCTCCTTGCCGTTTCATTTCGGGGAACCTGGTCGCCCTTTTCCTCCTACCCACCTGGTTCGAACTCTCATTTCGTCGTGGAAAATTAAAATGTCACCTGTCCGCTCGTGTTCCGTACTCTCGCTTTAACGAGGAATCCGTTAGTTCTCTTTTTTTTCCCAGTTAAAACGGCCCTTGCAATTTGTCCGGATTGAAATTTCCACAGTCCGTTTATCCGCGAACCGTTTAACGGCGGAGATTGAACGGAATTATCCGCATGTTTGTTTATAGCGAATTGATTAAGAGCACAATGTTGAGGTTCTTTTTGAGACACTTTTTGCGACACTTGTAAAGTATGCAAAAGAATTTTTTCAATAGATTTTCAATTGCTCGTTTAATGTTATACGTGAAAGGTTAATTATTCAATTAACCAGTCAGCTGTTGCGACCTCTTTGGAAAGTGTGTGGCTAAAATGTGTCGCCAAAAGTAAGCGACGACGAGTATACTCGTCAAACACAGAGTGTCTGTGGCTGTTATAATATAGAATTAAGTTGAAACGAAATGACTGTTTTATTTTTTAATTTTATTAACGACAGGGCTTTTTGGTAACTGTCCTGAGGAAGAATGTGTGAAAAAGAGATTTGTTTGAAAATAAAACATAAAAATAAAAAAAGAAGTAGAAAGCAGAGTAGCAGTAGCAGTAGTTTAATATGTTTTAATTTTCACTAAAATTGCAACTTAAACAGAAAATTGTAACTACTTTTTACGCACGACGAGTATACTCGTCGTAACATAAAATATTGCCGTATCTTCATGACGAGTATACTCGTAACATAAAATATTGCCATATCTTCATGACGAGTATACTCGTCGTAACATAAAATACTGCCATTTCTTCACGACGAGTATACTCGTCGTAACACAAAATATTGCCATTTCTTCATGACGAGTATACTCGTCAAAAACAGCTAACTGGTTAACCCCTTGACGTATGATTTCTTTTTTTGATTGTGCATCTAAGCGTCGGCTGTTTACTGTTTTAGTACTGCATTAAGTAAGAAATGCTGATTTATTATAGATTAATTAGATTTGCCAATCTTCAGTTTTACGAATTAACCCTTATGTCGATAACCGGGTACCCTTTTGCATAATTCTCACTTAAAATATTCGATCTTCCAGGTAAAAGATTGAAATATCCGGCCAGATCGTTGTTATTTCGCACATTTCCTATCCGTGTTTGCCTCAAGTTTCGAATTTTCTTATCAGAAAACTACTAAAATTGGACGATAAGGTAGATAACAATTCTGGTTATCGACATAAGGGTTAAATTGAAAATTGGAATAAAAGTGAATTTTTCTTACCGATGTAACTGTTTTTATCAGATCTTCACGAAAATCTGACTCGTTACTATACAGCAGAGGGTTAATCACAGGTGAAATACTCCATCACTCCCCAATTTACCCTAATCGAAACGCTCTTCAGGTCGTTCAGTGTTCCAAATACATTCTCCTTATCTCACAGCAGTAAAACATTCTTCGGAAAATAAAACTCTTTTCCAAACACCTCGATATTGATACAATTTCCCGGTTTCCTTCGCCGGAACAGATTCATTGTTCACGAATAAAAGAGAGCCCATTGGAACACTCCGTTCCCGGCGCGTTCTGCCTTTGAAGAAAGGGGTAGCTCGAAGGCGCGCAACGAGGGAAGAAATGTGAGAACGCGAAGGAAAAACGAGCGGCGAGATTTCACGCGACAGAACGGATGGAAAAAAGGAAAAGAGAAGGGTTAAAAAGCGGCGGATATTTCGTTGTGAAACATTTCCGTAATTCCACGGAACTTCGTTTCGTTTCGTTTCGTTGGTTGACTGAAAAATTCACCGAGTTTTCCTTCACTTGAATCGCGGCCGTCGTCTACTATTTGCACGGACCCTTTTGTAGTAGCATAAGTTGGCCGATTCTCCTTTCAGCTTGAGAACGATAGTCCTTCGCGACATTTGTTCGTGCTCCATCTGTTTGCCCCGACGGAAATGGAGACCCATAATTTACCAATATTATGTTCGATCGATTTCAT